AAGGAGAGCAAGAGGACAGACTTCAGAATGGCTATGTGAAGCCTCCCCAGAATGTTCCCAAAGCTCCTCCCCTAGAAGGCATGAGAATGTAACAGGAAAGTCTCAAGGATCCTGCTGCTTCCAAAGCCTCCTTTCAAGAAGCTGTTAGCAAATCAGCATGTACACCCTCCTTTCTTGCCTGTGTGTGATTTATCTAAGTGTGGTAGTTGAGTGTTTTTGTAGGTTAAACCTGTAGTTGGTGTGGAGTATAGTAGTTTAATCAAGTTAATATTTAACAAACCAATCTTCCAGTATCAAAGTTTTGCTATACTGGAGAAACAAACTTTATATAGTTTCATGTATATACAGATTACATGATTTAAGCAGCCTGTGAAATAAAAAAATTTTCTAATGTTTTTTGTCTTATTCTGTTAGCTATATGAGTCAAAATTGAAATAATTCCTATATTTTTGCTTCCCTTTATAAAGGGTTTCCTAGAACAGTCTCAATTCACTATCTTGAATGTTTCTCTCTTGAAATCTAAGCCTAATGTGAGGCTTTTCCATCTGAATTCCCAGATCTTAATTCTATGCTAACCTGACTTCTTTTAATTTGGGGAGTAGTAATTAATTTCAGACAAATACAAAATGTCATTTAAAAAAGATCATTAGTCATAATCAGTTGCATATTTTCCCACAGCACACGTGTATGGGCCAAAAACATTGGACTTTCTGAATTTCCAGGTTAGAAATTAAGCTGTTAATTATTTTAAGTGACACCAGATACTTTTCTAAATATAGCATTTTTTACCTTATTTTGGTAGGTAGTTAGGTCTGAAAGCCATGGTAAACATAATAGCCGTTTAAAAATGTTATGATCCATAGATTTCTGAAATCCTAGCATCTGAGGTATTGATACTGATTAAACATGATACGGTGAGGCTATAGAAGTCATGGAAAGGAGTTTATCATTAATTCTTAGAAACTTGCTAAGGGTGTGTTTCTCTCATTTTAATACGATGATTATCTAGACTTACACTGCCTAGTACAGTAGCCACTAGTCACATGTGGCTATTTAAATATAATTTGAAACTAAATCTAATTAAAAATTTAATACCTCACATTAGCCCCATTTTAAGTTCTAGTGACCACCGTATTGGACAGCAGATACAGAATGTTTCCTTCACAGAAAGTTCTATTGGACACTGTTGTTCTAGACACTTGGGGAATTTGACTTTTATTTCTCTTTCCAGGAAGAGAGACATCATGCAGAATATTGTACAGATTTTGGAATCAGTACAGTTGAAATGGGAACTTTTTCAGAGCTGGACAGACTTTTCAAGGCTCCATCTTTCTAATAAACTGGCCATTTTTGGAATTGGTTATAACACCCGTTGGAAAGAGGATATCCGTTACCATTATGCTGAGATCAGCTCCCAGGTGCCCCTTGGCAAGCGACTTCGGGAGTACTTCAACTCTGAGAAGCCTGAAGGACGGATCATTATGACCCGAGTACAGAAGATGAACTGGAAAAATGTTTACTACAAATTTTTAGAGATCACTATTAGTGAAGCTAGGTGCTTGGAGTTGCACATGGAAATTGACTGGATACCCATTGCCCACTCCAAACCAACCGGTGGGAATGTTGTTCAATATTTATTGCCTGGAGGTATTCCTAAAAGCCCAGGCCTTTATGCCATTGGCTATGAAGAATGTATTGAGAGGCCCCTCTCACCCCACATGGAGCAACGTTCCCTGGACCCAGGAAAAGAGGGCCGGGTTGACCTGGAAACCCTTTCACCACAAGCCTCATTACAGGTGGAAATAGAACCCACCCGAATTATCTATTGCTACCTCGGGATTGCTGAGGTCAGAACTCTGCAGCAGTGCTTATTTTTACATTTCCAAGCAAATACCAAAACCTTCAGCAAAGATTGGGTTGGTATTAACGGGTTTTTGTCTCAGAACTGTATTGTGGATCCCGGAGTTTCCCCCAAATCTATCTATATCAAATTTGTAGAAGTAGAGAGGGATTTTCTTTCCGCTGGCTCTTTAGTTGAGTGCCTGGAAAAAGCCATTGGATACCCCTTAAAATTTAACAACTGAATGTCATCCTTCATAAGGATTTGGGCTCTTAGCTCCTTCTCTACTGACTTCCCATTACCCAGACCACCCCTCATCCAGATGCTGCCATCAGAGTCTTCATGGAAACTCTTTCCTCGATTGGGCCAGTACAACTTCTAAGGAATCATAGTAGACTTTGGCCAGAAAAAAAACAGACCTCACCTGCAAATGCTCATTTTGAGTAAGCAAGATATATAGCGAACTTGCATGGTGGGTCAGCTGTTTCTTTTTTAAAAACAGAAAAATTTTTAAATGGTTTTAGAGCCCTAATACAAACCAATGTAGGTACATTCCATATTGGACAAAGCTTATACTTTGAGTTTCATATGAAATTGAAAAATTGTATTTTTTTCACAATGTTTCATTTTTACACATCTCTATGTCTCTATATAAGTAATATTTACAACCCTGAATAAATAAGCAATAGATAATGGCAAGTTAAATCTTGATTCACAGTTAAAAAGACTGTTTTTCAATATCACCCTTAGCTACTATTGTATATAGTTTAGAGTTTCATTTTTTTCACCAACCAAGTGTTTTGCTATTTCCAATCAGTGTTGCCTGCAAAGACCTTTGTTTCTGTGATGTACCAACTTTACAGTTGTGTTGCCATTTAAACCTTTTTAAAAAAAAAAAAAATTAAAGTAATTCCTGGCCTCTTGGCGTACTAGTTGAGCTTTTTGTAGCAGAGTGTGGCCGCACTGGCAGTGGGGGCTGTGCTCTGACTTTACTGCTAAGAATGAAGAGAACAAACAGAGCAGGGTATCTTCACATCCTTTCACTCTCTATACCTTGCTGACCAATGTCTTCATTTGTTGTCAGAGTACCCAAGGTCACTGGACATCTCGTTTTGCAGTTCTTTTAAAAGTGACTAGGATAATCCTTTTGACCGTAAGTACATGAATTTGTAAAAGAGTCATTCCTCATCTTTTACACTTAGTACTCAGGGGCAGCTCTCAAGGAGTACAACTAGAAAATTGATGGAATCTTACTGTCTCTCAAAAGGATAGAAGGATCCAATAGAAACATCCTTTTTTTGAGGCAGGTTCTTGCTCTGTCACCCAGTCTGGAGTGTAGCAGTGCAATCATAGCTCAGTGCAGTCTCAAATTCCTTGGGCTCAAGTGATCCTCCTGCCTCAAAGCCTCCTTAGTAGCTGAGACTATAGGCTCGAGTGCCATCACACCAGCAATATTTGTTTAATTTATTTATGTTTTTGATAGAGACAAAACATATCTCATGTTTTGTTTCCCCCGTGTTTGATATGTTTTATCTCTACCAAAACCATAAATAAATTTTATTTTATCATGCTGTGATAAATCATACTATGTTTCCCCCTGTGTTTCAGCTGGTCTCAAACTCTTGTCCTTAAGCAATCCTCCCACCCAAAGTGCTGGGATTACAGATGTGAGCCACTGGTGCCAGCTCAAAAGTATTTTTTTAGGAGAAGGAATTGACAGGTATGAGTCCATTAGGAAGGCAACTGTCATGTTTAGATCTTTCAGAGATTTCTAATGGACCAACCACTACTCCTTACAGGTTAGTACTCATGGCTCAGAATCACTTACTAATAGCATAGTCAAGGATCTCTTTGATCTCATGGCAGGAACTCGTTAGATTGGTTATTTATCTTTAATGATTTCCCAGCATCTCTCAAGTGCTCTACTTTAAGTGAGCTGCAAATCCAGGTAAGAACTCTGATTTTTCCGTTTTTTCTATGCTACTGAAGATATACTTACGTATTAACAAAAAAATGTTCTTTTCCTGCAACCTGAATGTTCTCAAATCAATGATTTTTCTCATTCTGATGTGTGTTGGTTAACACTTCTTTATTTTTGTAGTAACTAGAGAGCTTATAATCAATGAAATGGCTTTTATTTCTGTTATTTGAGTCTGGGGTTATGGAATTGGTTGTTTTCTGATGAGAGCTGCCAAAAATGAGTACTAGTTCAAGGAGAATATAAATATCTTGAGAGTGTGTTGAGCGTAGCTGTTCTCCCTGGGCAGCATCTATAGGCAGAGGCCTGAGGAAATCCTCCTTGAGTTTGCTCTTCTTTGGAACTTAGAATTCTGATCCTAAAGACTGAGGCACTCTTTGCCATTTGTAGCAATAATCTCATAGTACTCAGTGCTAAATGCTGTAGGAAAGAGTATTATTAGCAGGAATACCTCATGGCATCTCTAAAACTTTGCTGTTGACCAGTCCCAAAACTAACATGCTTTAATGCATTTTTTCTTTTCTGAATCTTCCCATTGTTGTTAGTTGCTTAGCTGGGGCAGAACATTGGGTAACATTTCATAAGAATGTTTTAGACATACTGAACATTAGTGAGAATGGGACATTGCTAGACCCACTGTGAGTGGCGTCGAGAAGATAGCAAAGGCTGGATCCAATAGATGTTTTTACCATTTGGCTTGGGATGGTTGGCTGGGAGAGGACAAAGATGAGCATTGGGAAATGAAGGTTTACCAAGAAAGTAGCTTGCTGATACTGTATCTCCAGTCTCTTTGTCCAGAACAGTCTAGAAAAGATAGCAGGAGGTCAGATAACTATGAGCATTGCCAAAAAATAAGAAATGGACTATTTAGACCTTAATGAAGCCTTATAACTGATTCAAGGGGGACAGAGAAAGTATATTCAAATGTAAAAATAGATATTAGGAAATACTTTGGAAATCTAAGATGAGGTGTGATTCGAAGAAGCACTAGTGGCCTGCAAGTTTCTAACATGAAACTATGAACTTAGCTCTGCACAGATGTTTATGTAAGCAGTTCCCAGGTGGCACGCAGATCATCTGTGCTGGCATTCATGATTTACACCAGGATGAAGAGGAATCCACCTTCAGATGCATCTTGGTGAAAATTTTCAGAAAGTAATGGAGCTGTTATGCCAACTTCTACTTGACTGCCTCAAGGTCAGAAGAAAGAAATAGTTGAAATAGGTGACAGTAAGGAAACTTATTTAGGGTCAAAGAATCCTGAAGAGACTGCCCCTGTGTCACATGGAGACATTCACTGCCTATAAATTATTGGTTGCTGCTTTACTTCCCATGTCACAAGTAATTTGGGATCTGAATTCTGAAGGAAAAGTTAGCTACAGGGAATGACTGTTGAGGCTACACCTTATGTAGCACCTGATCAGGATGAACAAAGCCTGTGTGATAGATACTTGGTGTTTCTGGGTTAGAACCAAAAGACTTTACTTCCTCTCTTGGAAGGAGTTTCTCGGGGTGACTTGTCTGGAAACAGAGGAGGGGTGTTTACAAGAGATGGTTCGCAGTTCAGACTAAAGCCAAGAAAAATTTGAGTGTGATGGAATAGGAAAACCAAACCAACAACCCCCAACCCCACCACACAATCTGCTTGGCAAGTCCAAGTTTGTAGTTCCCTGCACAAGAATGTGAGACTGGCAGGTATCTCTTCCTGTTGTCTTTGCTGCCACTGAGCTGCCAAATACTAGATTCCAGGGTTTGCATGAGCAATTTCATGTTCGCATCGGCATTTCTCCAACCCACTGCATGGCAGGTATTTGAAGAGGAGCCAGGCAGGTCACACTAGGAAGAAGCAGCTGAGAGTGCGTATGAGGCACTGCATAGAAAAAGATATTGTGTACAGTGTTTGCCCAGGGACTACACTGTTAAAACAGCACAACTATGTGCAGTAAATGGAATCCCGCAGGCCTGGCTGCTTTTCTTCTCAGTCAGCTCTGCCCGCAGAGCAGGCAGCGCCAGGAATTCGTTGTTACGCTTTCTGCCCTCAGTGACCTTTGCTGGGTGGTTGAGCTGTGCTGGGATGTTTCAAACGTGTGTGTGCGCGCGCGCGTGCGCGCTTTTGGACAGAGAAGCAAGAACAGGTGTGCTGGGATGTTTCAAACGTGTGTGTGTCTGTGTGTGCGTGCGTGCGCTGTTGGACAGAGAAGCAAGAACAGGTGTGCTGGGATGTTTCAAGCATTGTGTGTGTGTGTGTGTGTGTGTGTGTGTGTGTGTGTGCGTGTGTGCGCGCGCGCGCTGTTGGACAGAGAATCAAGAACAGGTGCGTGCCTTGCTGTAAGGGAGCAGCGACCGCCAGAGGGCGCAAAGGTGCCTTTTGACGGAATGGCACAGGGAGGGGGGCGTTAAATTCAAATCACAGCGAACATGAGCTAGTCTCGGGAATTAAAGGATCAGAGCGTGCCTGAGCCTTTCACTGCGGGAATGGGAGGCACTGAAGATTCGGGGAATGAAGAAGATACGGAGGGACTGTCCTGCCTACCTTCCCGCAGCTGCCCCTCCTCCCCAGTCAGCTTCAGGCCAGAACGCCGCTCATTTCAGGGGCTAAAATGGGAGCTGCACGCGCGTTGCCTCAGTTTCCCGCTTGGCTCCTGGGGCTATCTTGTGCCAACCTTCCCTGCTCGGAGTATGAGGCACAGACCAGGGTAATTCTCCATGCTGGATTGTCGGGGTCTGCGGAACTCACTGAGCCTTCCTTTTTCCTGCCCTCGGGTGAAGATTCCCTGTGCCGCTGGCCAGCGCTGGCGCGTCCCGGGGTGCCCTGAGCTCCCGCAGGGCTTCTGCCGTCACTCTTGCTGCCACGCTCCGGTGGCCTCGCAGCCCCCGCCTCCCACAGAGCCCGCGGGCAGCTGTCGCTGCAACCTCTCCCTGCCACTGTAAAATGCTGCTCTCCCTCTTCCTCCCAGGAAGGCCCCCTGGTTGGGCCGGGGACCCGGCATCCCCAAGCTTGGAGCCAGTTGTTGGAGGCAGAGCCCTGGAGCTCTTACAAGTCAAGGATTACTGGTGGTTCCGACTTCGGATAGTCCCCAAATTTCCCACCCTTCCTGGTCACCCTATCCTACCCCGGAGGAAGGGGAGGGTACAGTGCAGGATAGTTCTGGAGCCTACTCTACTCTTCCCCCCTCCCGCCACACCCTGGCTGGCTCTCGGGTTATCACGACTTACCCCACCCCTCCCTGCGTCCTGACCTGGGAGAGGCCGGGGCGGGTTGGGGGGGTGGAAATCCCACTGTCCGCTTGCTGGGGGCGCCCCCCAGCGGCGGACCCCGCACGCTCCGCCCGTGAGGACGGCGACCTCTCCACCCCCTCGAATGCCCCGCCCCTCTGTCGCCCTTGGGTCCCCACCCCGCCACCGGCACACAAGCACGCAGACTTGGGCTGGAGCCGCTCTGGGTGTCAGCGGCTCGGTTCCCGCGCACGCTCCGCTCCCGCCATCGCGCAGCCTCGGCACCTGCGGGTCCCTGTGTCCCGCAGCTGTCGCCTCTGACTCTGTCTGGGCCAGGGAGGGCCATGATTTCCCTGCCCAGGTCCCCGGTGATCAACTTGCTGCTGTTTTTGTTCTTGGGGCTGAGTATCCTCGGTGAGTGAAACCCGGACCTGGAGGGGACTTGGGATGCAGGATGGGGTGAATTCGACCCTGAGGGAGAACTTTGGGCACTGCTGCGGAACTAGGTTCCACGACTCGCCCTCTTCCCCTGACCTCCCAACCCCACCCCAGGGCATCACTGACGGGTCCGCGCTTTGGCGGGGAAGGCTCCCAGTTTGGGTATGAGAGGGATTGGGGAGGGGGAGAAGCTAGGGGCATCTCGCGGAAGACCTGGATACCTCTGGGGTGAGTTATTGGAACCATTCTTCTCCCTGTCCACTCCCCACCCCCACCCAGCAGAGCCGGATGAGCTGAGCCGCTAGATGAGACACTGGCTAAAGAGCTTAAGGACTTAACTCTAGCCCCCTCTCATCTCCGACCCCACACACAAGCTGATGAGGAAGATCCCCCGGGGAATTCCCCTGGTCCCCAGGCTTGACACATGCACTTCGGGTCAATTCCCCAGCACAGATCCTCTCTCTTGCCCTCTCCTGCTTCCTGCCTTGGGAATAAGGGAGGTGCCCCCAAAGGACGACCGTGAGGCCATTGGGACACAGGAAATGGCGGAAGGGTTCAAATGCACAGAGAAACAGAACTGTGACACCCTCTCTCCAGGTTCACCACCCCTATTGGTTCTCAGAGCCAAAGGGACAAGGGGAAACTGGGAGGAGGGTGTCCGAGGGTCAGAGAGGAAGGGAACCTCCTTGGTGAAAGTGCTTGGGAAGTGTTGGAGGCCTCCACGGACTCTGGCTTCAGCTGGAGTTGGGGTGGCTCAGAATTCCATCTGGGAGAGAAGGACCGGCAGGACTAGGCCCTTTTGAGTGGTTTCACTTGCTTTCCATCAGGTTTTCTTGCTATCCCCCTTCAAGGATCTTGAATGGTGGTGAAGGGTGGGTTTGGCCATATTTAACTCATTGCTCGGGTTGGAGGATGTCGGACAAGTGAGGCCTGGAAAGATGTAGAGTGAAATTCAGCCGCAATGATGGGGACTGAGATGGAGATCGCCAGTGTCCCCTTTAGCCTGTTTTGTGTCCCACAGGTGTTGGGGCATGCAATATTACAGTTCTTGGACAAAGTGAGTTTCAGGAGCAGTCTCCCAGGCCACACCAAAGCCAGGGATGCCTGCCCCGGGATCCCTCAAACTTCTCATTCCCGCTTCCCCAACTTCAACTTCTCTGTTCCTTCTGCATTCCAGCCCAACTCTATCCCCCTTCCTTGTGGAAGGGGGGATAGGGGCTGGGGGAAAATCTCTGAAGCAAGGGAGGACAGTTCAAGTTGGCTGCCTGCTATCGTAGGCTTCACCTACTGCTCATCTGCAACCCTTTGTCCTACCCCAGCTTTGAGCCTCAATTTGTCATACTGAAGACCTGGACTCAAAAGTTCTATTGTCCCCCACCCCCCCAGGGGTTGCCCAGCTCCCGCCAGCCACTCGAGGGTTAATGGCACTGGTGACCTCGGGGCAACGGGCAGGCGCCCGGCTCCACTCATCTGGGCTCTTGGGGAGGTTCTCCGGCTCAGCTTGCTCCTCGGAGGCTCAGCGCTGCTGCCCCTGGGGCGTGAGAAGCCCGCGGGGGGAGTTTCTCAGAGAAAGAGGGAGACTAAAAATAGTAGCCCTGGGGAGCGGGCCCATTTCGCTCTCCTGCAGCCCCTGCCGGTTCCCTCACTCTGGTCTCCGAGAGGGCTGTGGGCCGGAAGGGTCCCTTTCTTGAGCTGTCCCTGTGTCCTTCGCTCAGACCCAACCAGCCTCCTTTTCTCACCCACTGGCTCCTTGGACTCTGGGACCAAAAAAAAAAAAAAAAAAAAAACAGACCAGTTGGGGGGCTTTCGAGACAGCAGACACCCGGGACAGAGGGCAGAAAAGCCTCAGGCCCCCTTCTGTTCCTGGTTTCTGAGAGGGCGAAGAGCAGGGAGCCCATGCTCAGACCCTAGTGTGTCCATTACAATCTCTTTCAACCCTCCTCTACCTTCTGTAAAGTGGAATTTTAAATGTGGGACCTGGGGAGGACGCTGGTGGTCCCCAAGGTGAAGGAAGCGCGCTCCCCTCCCAGGCCCAGGCAGTTTCCTGGCGGAAACCATTTCTGCCCGCTCTGTCGGTGCGGTGTGTGTGGCAGGAAGGCTGAGGGAGAGCCCGCACCACCCGCAGGCAAGGCCCCAGGCGGGCCGGGCCTCGGCAGAATGGCCAGTGGGCAGGGCCCCCAGGGGGCGTCCAGTTCCTTGAGGCGGGGATTGTTTTCTCCCGTAGAGCCTCTGGTCTAGCGGCCCCCACCCCACTTCATTGTCTTCTGCCTTATCACTGGGTGCAAATTTCCTGCCCAGACCACAGGGATCCTCCAGGAAATGGGAAGAGGGATGCTACGAAGGCCAAGGAACAGAGGTGGGGGTTCTGTACAGCGCAGCCGGGAAGCGGTGGGGGTGGCGTGCATCCTGGCCGGATCAACTCCCAGCCCTTAGAGGCCTTCAGCCTGGCTCTGCGAGCACGAGGGCGGAGAGCCGGGCCTGGCTGCGGCCTCTTCCCACGGCCAACGCCTGCTCGCCACGCGGAGGTGGCGTCTTCAGCCCCGAGGCAGAGCGCCGAGGCCTGCGGGGAGTAGGGCCCGGGACTAGGGCGGCCAGCATCCTCAGGCCGTGTGCAAGCCCGAGGTTATACCCCAAGGGGCTTAGCAGTTGGCTGATCTGTTGCTTCTCCGAAGGGCAAAGGATGAGTATTTCCGGACACTGTGATGCAAAGATAGCCCCCTCCTTGAAACCTATACCCGGGTCGACCCCCTGAACGCCAGACACACTCAGGGGAGGCTCTGTACTTGTCCGGATCGCCGTTCGCGCTGCCTGTAATTCCCTGCCACCCGAGAGGCCTCTGCCTAGATTGCCGGGACTCCAGAAGGGCTCCCAGGTGCTTTCTGGGTTTCAACCCTCTGTTTTCCCCGCCGCTGGGATTGCGCAGGAGGGCAGGGAGCACCACATTCACTGGGTCAGGCTTGGGAGCTGGGCCGCTCTGCCCTCTCCAGCTCCCGCAAGTTCAGAAGGAGCCGCAGGGTTAATCGGTAACCAGGCGGCCTCCCAACCCCCTTTGCTCATCCAGAAGTAGGTAGTGAGGGACCCTGGTGGTCCTGAGCAGCATCGCTACTCTCCCTTGGCTCTCGCTCAGGAAAACTGGGGAAGCAAGTGGGCTATGTGGAGCATACAACAGAAGCGGTCGGTCCTCCCTTTCTCCTAACATCTTCCCCTCCTGACTGGAAATCTGTCCCGCGCCTCTGGATACGAACAAATGCAAATGCGTAGAAATGTGTCCCCATCCCCGCTACAACCGTAGAGGCTGACGGTGGAGAGAGGAAGCTGTGATGAAATGAGGCAGGACACTGAGCCAATGGTCCCTGGGCACCCCTTGAGGCCTCCCAGGGCCGGACCCCGCAAGGTTCCTCCTTCCTGTTTGCGCAACTTTCCTCATTCTCACGTGGAGCCACGTTGGGCAGGGTCCGCGGGCGGAGCTGGGAGCCCGTCCGGGGCGCTCACACCTCGCTCTTGTCTCCAGCGCCCTCCTCGCGCGCCCAGCTGCAGCTGCACGTGCCCACCACCAAGTTGCAGGCGGTGGAGGGAGGGGAAGTGGTGCTTCCAGCGTGGTACACCTTGCAAGGGGAGGTGTCTTCAGCCCAGCTGAGGGAGATGCCCTTTGTGATGTGGTTCTTCCAACTGAAAGAAGAGAATGAGGAACAGGTGAGGGAGGAACGTCTCTCAGCAAGAGGCCTGTTGCGCCCAGCGGGATTGTAAGGAAAGAGCTGATAGCGGTGGGAGGAGTGTCGGGGGAATGGGGGCCGGGTAATGGGGGCCGGGGAAGGAGTCTCAGGGAAGAGCACCCTCACCAGTTCAGTTTTTGTTCTGATATTGGGAACTTCCCAGTTATCTTTTGCCCAACTTTCCCTAAAATTCTAGGACACAAAACACCGTAAAAATGAAGAGGCATTTTACTTGGTTATGGAGGAAAAAGGAGGAGAGGAAGAATGGAAGTTGAGGGCTGAGAAAAACTTAGGGGAAGTAACATACGCGACTTGTAAAAGTTAGCATATTTCTGGCCGGACGTGGTGGCTCACACTTTTAAACTCAGCACTTTGGGAGCCTGAGAAAGGCAGATCACTTGAGGCCAAGAGTTGGAGACCAGCCTGGCCAACATGGTAAAAACCCATCTCTACTAAAAATACAAAAATTAGCTGGGTGTGGTGGTGTGCACCTGTAATCCCAGCTACTTGGGAGGCTGAGGAAGCAGAATCACTTGAACCCACAAGGCAGAGGTTGCAGCGAGCCAAAATTGAGCCACTGTCAACCTGGGTGACAGAGTGAGACTGTCAAAAAAAAAGCATATTTCTGTTTTCACATTCTCTGCTTTGAATACTGTCGAGTCACAGGCCAATTCTCTTCCCATATAATCCTTATCTGTCACCTTGCCCCTTTATACCACCTTGAGAGCCAAGGGGCCATCTCCTCCCACAATCTCCCACCCATCTGTCTTGACACCAGGCTTACATCCAAATACAGATTTACCCAGAAGAGAATGAAACAATGTTTAGGAGCCCCTGAAAACTGTTCAAGGAAGTCATTTGGGTTTTTTTTTGAAATGGGGTCTCATTCTGTTGCGCAGGCTGAAGTGTAATGGTGCAATCTTGGCTCACTGCCGCCTCTACCTCCCCCACTCAAGTAATCCTTCCACCTCAGTCCCCTCAGTAGCTGGGACTGCAAGCATACACCACCATGCCAGCCTAATTTTTGTATTTTTTGTAGAGACTGTGTTTCACCATGTTGCCCAGGCTGGTCTCGAACTTCCTGGACTCAAGCAATCCACCCGCCTTGGCCTCCTGAAGTGCTCACAGGCGTGCTCTAACATGCCCAGCCTCATTTGACACTTAAAAAAAAAAAATTTGTAATATTTTTTCCTGGAAGATTCCTCCCCTATTGTGTAAGTTTCAGGTCTTACAAACCGGGATCTATCCCAGCAATCTGAGTTGCTTGCATACATACCTCCTACCTACATTGTCCCTACTCCCACTGTCACGTCACCTTTCTAAACACTGCAACTGGGAGATGAGACAATGCACAGGAACCAAGAATGGTTCTGTTGAAGAGGACCCAGGAGCAGTGAGAGGAGGCTAGGGACAAAAGGTGAATGGGGAGATGGTTCAGGTTAGAAGAATGGGTGCACATGAGGGGCATTTGGAGAATGCCAGTTGGGGCAGGGAGATTGGCTGAGCCTGCGGTGCAGTATATACATGATGTAATAACGAGCATGTGTTATGCCCCACACCAGGTGTTGGCCTACATCAATGGGGCCACAACAAGCAAACGTGGAGTATCCCTGGTCTACCCTATGCCCTCCCGGAATGTGTCCCTGCGGCTGGAGGGTCTCCAGGAGAAAGACTCTGGCCCCTACAGCTGTTCTGTGAATGTGCAAGACAAAGAAGGCACCAGTAGGGGCCACAGCATCAAAACGTTAGAACTCAATGTAATGGGTGAGTGAGAAACACAGACTTTCATACCCCTCCCCACCCTCACCGGGAGGTCTGGCAGGTCTCTCTCCTAAATGGCTGAGGGCAAGAGTTGGGGGAAGGACAAATGGAGCAACAGAAGGGTATGGGGCAGAGGGAGAGGATTGATGGGTCTTCTGGTGTGGTTTTAATCAGCCTCCCCTTCCCCAGTTCCTCCAGCTCCTCCATCCTGCCGCCTCCTGGGTGTGCCTCGTGTGGGGGCCAACATGACCCTGAGCTGCCAGTCCCCGAGGAGTAAGCCCACTGCCCATTACCAGTGGGATCGGCAGCTCCCATCCTTCCAGACTTTCTTTGCACCAGCGTTAGGTGAGGACACTTCTGGAAACAGCCAAGACAGGCTGGGGAAGGGGAAAGATGAGAGGTACCACAGGGACTGGGGTGAAAAGGGGGGCCAATGCTGACAAGTATTGGGAAGGAGGAGGAGAAGGAGGAGGGAGATGTGGAGGAATGGGGGGCAGAGAAGATGCCCTGCTAGGGCAGGTATTGTGTTAGGTACATTAATTGTGTGTACTATCAAGAAAGAGGCTCTACAACTGGAGTGTCTGTGTTCAAATTCTAGCTCTTCTAGTGACTAGCTTTGTGTGACTTGGTGACTTCATTCCTGAATTTGTAAAATGTGGAGTTTATACACACCAGCTTGAACTCATTAGTGTGACTTGAACACACCAGTTATAAAAAAGATTTTAGGGCCAGGCGCGGTGGCTCAAGCCTGTAATCCCAGCACTTTGGGAGGCCGAGGCGGGTGGATCACGAGGTCAAGAGATCGAGACCATCCTGGTCAACATGGTGAAACCCCGTCTCTACTAAAAATACAAAAAAATTAGCTGGGCATGGTGGCGTGTGCCTGTAATCCCAGCTACTCAGGAGGCTGAGGCAGGAGAATTGCCTGAACCCAGAAGGCGGAGGTTGCGGTGAGCCAAGATCGCACCATTGCACTCCAGCCTGGGCAACAAGAGCGAAACTCCGTCTCAAAAAAATAAAAATAAAAATAAAAAAATAAAAATAAAATAAAATAAAATGTCTAAGTAAAAGAAAGAAAATAAACATGGCCAAAAGCAAATGTTGGATTTAGGTTATGGGAATATGGATTTTCATTTTGCCTCTCTTTCTACTTTTCACATGACCATTTTTATAATAGGAGCTTTTACTTTTTTAAAAGAATCTTTATTACCTCACAAGTTTGTTGGGAAATTGTGTTAAGTTTGTACACGTAAAGAATCTAGAGCAGTCTTTGGTGCAGAGTAAGCAGCCAATAAACGTTAGCTGTCATAATGATTAGTCTATGTAGTCCTTTCAACACCATCAAGGAGGTCATCTTGTCCAGTTTAACAGACGAAGAAACTGAGACCCTCAGATATCAAGTAACTTGCTTAAAATCAGTCCCGTGGCCTGTTCTGGAACCCACACGAGCCTGTTCCTACTCTAGTGTTCTTTCTCTCTCATCACACTGTCTTGGCAAAATAAAAGTTAAAATGGTGTTTTGGCTTTTCTGAGCATCACTTTCTCTGTAGCCTCCTGTCAGATTTCCACTGAGGGCAGTGAATGAGGAGTGAATGGAGAGGGTATTGCGCTAGCCAGTCTGCAGCTGGGAACCGATCCCAGCTGTCACACCTTTCCCCCACTTCAGGGAATAGATAAGCTATGACTCCCAGAGGGTCAAAGGGGACATTCCAGAGAAGGGACAAGATTTTTTTTTTTTTTTAATGGGAAAGAGGGTCCCTGGACTGATGGATAAATTGTGTCCACAGATACCATCCGTGGGTCTTTAAGCCTCACCAACCTTTCCTCTTCCATGTCTGGAGTCTATGTCTGCAAGGCCCACAATGAGGTGGGCACTGCCCAGTGCAATGTGACCCTGGAAGTGAGCACAGGTCAGTGAGGGGTAAGTGTGGTTAAGAAGAGTGGTCGACGGTGGGAGAGAGGTTGCAAGATGGGAAGAAGCCTGTCTGCTGAGGCCTCTCATTGCAACAGGGCCTGGAGCTTGCCCTGGTCAAATGGTTGTACAAATATTTGTTCTGTGACTGGCCATTTCCTGCTTGACAGCCACCCCTCTCCTTGACAGGGAAAAAGAGAGAATGCATATGGTGGCAGGTGGGGTCAGGGGAGTGGGATTGGAGAGATGTGGGAACCCCTCAGCTGGGTGTCCCCCTCTGACACGATGCCTTTTCCAGGGCCTGGAGCTGCGGTGGTTTCTGGAGCTTTTGTGGGTACTGTGGTTGGACTGGGGTTGCTGGCTGGGCTGGTCCTCTTGTACCATCGACGGGGCAAGGCCCTGGAGGAGCCAGCCAATGATATCAAGTAAGTGTTCCTGTTCTCTGCTGCAATGGGGGCTCTCCCAGATCTCCTCACAGAGTCTGAGAATTCAGGCAGCTCTCATCTATTGGAAGGAGGGGGCAGTGGCTGAAACATCATTCCTGTGGGCAGGTTTTAAGGGAGAGGAAAAGGAGTACTGAAGTGTGCAGGGAGAGATAGAATATAAGACCAAGCCAGTAGAAACTCTCTCCTTCCCCGTCTCACTTCTGACCTCTTGTTACTTCTTTGATGACTAGGGAGGATGCCATTGCTCCCCGGACCCTGCCCTGGGCCAAGAGCTCAGACACAATCTCCAGGAACGGGACCCTTTCCTCTGTCACCTCCGCACGAGCCCTCCGGCCACCTCACGGCCCTCCCAGGCCTGGTGCATTGACCCCCACGCCCAGTCTCTCCAGCAGGGTCCTGCCCTCACCAAAACTGCCCATGACAGATGGGGGCCACCCTCAAGCAGTATCCCCCATCCCTGGTGGGGTTTCTTCCTCTGCCCTGGGCCGCATGGGTGCTGTGCCGGTGATGGTGCCCGCCCAGAGTCAAGCTGGGTCTCTGGTGTGATGACCCAGCCAGTCATTGGCTAAAGGATTTGGGGTCTCTCCTTCCTATAGGGGTCACCTCTAGCACAGAGGCCTGAGTCATGGAAGAGTACTCACACTCCAGACCCTTAGTCCTCTATCCCTACCTCTCTTTACTGTGGGAAAACCGTCTCAGTAAGACCCAAGTGTCTAGGAGATTGCAGAAGAGGGAGAAGAAGTGGATCTGGACTTGGGAGGAGCCTCCACTGCCCCCCCCCCCACCACTTCTCCCTGTGAAGCCAGATGCTGAAATCAGCTACTCACCAAGGGCCCTGGCAGAGACTGCCAGTCACCGAGTCTCCCAGGCCTCCTTGATCTGTACCCCACCCCTATCTAACACCACCCTTTGCTCCCACTCCAGCTCCCTGCGTTGATATAACCTGTCCAGCTGGCTTGACTAGGTTTTACCGGAACAGAGGCTAGGGAATGTATTTTTAAAACTAACATGAAATGTGTGCGTTTTCATTTGCAAATTTCAATAAAGATGCATTGTGTTTGTATGGGATGAGAATCGAGTTGCCTTTTCAAACTAAGAATTCTAGAAGTTGAGCTTCCGGATAATGCAAAGCAGACCCCTTTCCCAAGCCGTGTACCCAGGAGGGCTTCTCCCCGCAGGATCAGAGCAGCTCATCTGGTGTTTAGAAGGGTCCCTGTTTGTCCCATGGAGAAGGGGAGGAGACCCTAAGCTACTCTAAGCAGCAGGGGGATGGAGTTAGTACGCTTTGGAGCGGGAGCTTGAGGGGCACATGTGCCTTACCTGCTTCCTCTTCAGGGACAGGGCAGAGGAAGCTCACTTGGGCTCCTCTCCCACACCACAGCATCCTTAACAAAGATACCTTCTTGCCCATCTGGAAGAGATCCCCCTAGTTACTGAGGGTGAGCTGGGCATAGTATGGGGTGCAGGTCCGTGTCCAAATTTTGCCATGTTGTTTCCTACCAAGGGTGGGGTCTCCTTTAGGTTTCAGTTTCTCTGCCCCTAAAATGGAGTGGCTCTGGGAATGGAGAGATGCTCATTTCTACCGAGACTCCTACCACCCCCAGTGGTGAAATGAAAAGTGGCGTGGACAGAAAGGGTCTGTGGCCTGCGGCTCACAGTCAGTGAGGTCCCAGGTGGGGACGCCACTTGCCGGCTCTGGGGTATCAGGACAACTCCGTCTTCCAAAGTCAGCTTTCCTTCCAGAGCTCCAGTGCCAAGCCTGTCTCTGCAGAAGGCCCACCCCAGGCCCAACCCTTTTCCCAAGGCCTGACACCTTCAGACCTTGGGGAGAAGAGGAAGGAAGGAGGGCACAGGGATGGAGGGATTGCAGAATTGGGGCTGGAGGGGAGGAGGGAGGAGCATTTTTTTTTTTTAACCTGTGGTGCCGGCCTCTCCCCTGTTTGCTCTGAGATACCAGTCTCACTCCTGCCCAGTCCAGGCGGCTACCCTTGGGTGCTCCCTTCCCTCCCCGACACCCAGACTGACCTCGACCGCCCGCCTGGCAGGAGCAGGACGGCTGGACGCGGCCATGACCGGGCTCCCGGGGCCCTTTCTCTGCGGGGCCCTGCTAGGCTATCTGTGCCTGAGTGGTGAGGAGGGGCCCGGTGGGATCACAGCAAGAGCTGGGGGGCGCAGGCCCGGCTTCCCGTCTCCTAGGGACCCACTCTGTCCCTGCCAGGCCAGCTAAGGCTGCCGTGGGCCTCACGGGTCCTAAGGTGCCTGGGGTGAGGCTGGGAGCAGGTGTTGAAGGCCAAGAGGGCAGAGGAGAGAGGCCCCCAAGCTGGCGGAGTTCAGCCTCTCCGTGGTACAGGCCTGAACCACCCACCGCAGGGGTAGTATTTTTCTCTCTCTGCTAAACACACACACCCTCTTACCTGGGCCGGTCTTGGCCCTTTTACCCACAAAGACCAGGCCCGTCCTGGAAACCTCAGGTTTTGGGAAGGGAGGGGTTGGATTGAGGAGAGGGTGTTGTGCCCTGGGGAGGGAGCCCTCAGCTTTCAATGTAGATGACCGGAGTGGGCCCAACCCTCCAGATCGCTGGAATTTGGGTTCCCACCTCCCTTTGGTTCCGGGCCACAGGGCTGGCAGTGGAGGTGAAGGTACCCACTGAGCCGCTGAGCACGCCGGTGGGGAAGACAGCCGAGCTGACCTGCACCTACAGCACGTCGGTGGGAGACAGCTTCGCCCTGGAGTGGAGCTTTGTGCAGCCTGGAAAACCCGTCTCCGAGTCCCATCCAGTGAGCTGAGAGCAACTGCATGAAGCTGGGTTGGCTTGGAGAGACAGGAACCCAGGATGAGGGCACGGGGTCGGGAGGGGCATTTGGGGATCAGTGTGCTTGGATGAAAAGGTAAGTGGGCTCTGCCTAGATCTTCTCAGGGCTGCAGTCTGCGTCACCCTGTATCTTCCCTTCCTCTCCCACAGCCCCTATTTCCACCTCCCCTGCCTTAGTGCAGTCAAAGTTTCAGTTCATATATCCATTGACACTAAGGTATTGTGACTGATACCAAGATAATACGTGCCTCTTTTGGCTGTTTGAGAGAAAGAGAGAGACACAGAGAAAGGAGAGAAAGGAGAGGGAGAGGGAGGGAGGGAGGGAGGGAGAAAGAAGAGGGAGAGAGGGAGGGAAAGAGAAGGAAGAGGGAGGGAGAGAAGGGAGAGGGAGGGAGAGAGAAGGGAAAGGGAGAGAGGGAGAAGGAAGAGAGAGAAGGGAGAGGGAGAGAAGGAGGGAGAGAAGGAAAAGGGAGGAAGAGAGAGGAGGGAGAGAGAAAGGAGAGGGAAGGAGGGAGAGAAGAAAGAGGGAGAGAGAGAGAAGGGAGAGGGAGAGAAGGAGGGAGAGAAGGAAGAGGGAGGAAGAGAGAGAAGGGAGAGGGAGAGAGAGTGCACAATGAATCTGGTTCATTTAGCACCTGAAAAGGGGTGGTTTGGGGAGAGAGGCCTTTGAGGTTCCAGCTATAGGGTGTCAGCCTCCCTGGCTGATATAAGTCAGGGGCCTTATACCTAATTTGAGGATGAAGGACTGTAGAGTTGATCAGGCAGAAAAAGGCACATGTGTGTGTCTTCTGCCTCTCTCTAGATCCTGTACTTCACCAATGGCCATCTATATCCAACTGGTTCTAAGTCAAAAAGGGTCAGCCTGCTTCAGAACCCCCCCACAAGGGGGGTGGCCACGCTGAAACTGACTGACATCCACCCCTCAGATACCGGAACCTACCTCTGCCAAGTCAACAACCCACCAGATTTCTACACCAATGGGTTGGGGCTAATCAACCTTACTGTGCTGGGTAAGGCAGGCTGGGGGTCCACCAGCCACCTACTCTTTCACACACTCTGAGAGTTTGCACTCGTCCTGCTAAATCTCCCATTTCTGACTTTTAGCCCAAGTACACAACTGCACTGGGGGCCCCAAGGGAAAATACTCCCTTTCCAAGTCTTCTAATCCAGATGGTCATACTCCAATTCCACCCTCCACCGAGGGCATCTCCTCCATCAGGGCCTGATAACAGAGTGTGTGAGAGAAAGCCTTTCCCATACATGGGGATCTGAGTCTGTCCCCAGCAGCTCCATCATGGGGTAACTTCTAATTGGTAGCTGGATTCTGTCCCTCCCAAGGTCAGTGGCAGAGAAGGGGAGTGGCGGTCAAAGGAACAAGGGCTTCTATTACTGGGCACCAACCTCATGCTCAGGGCTTCTGTCTCACCCCAAACTAGAGGCTGCACAGAGATGAGCAACCAGAAAAACTGTCAAAGAGGCTGGCAGTGTTTAGAAGGAAAAGAGAACACCTAGGACGTGGTGTATATACGGCTGTGGGATTCAACCCCCGAAGGGCTGTCATGTGGAGGAGAGATTTTAATTTCTTTGTGGGCCCAGAGGGCAGTAACTGAAACCAATGGGTGGATATTATGTTACACACATTTTGGCTCAACATGAGGAAGAATTTTCTCTAACGATCAGAATTTCCAGTAGTGGAAATCCCTCAGTTCCTGGGGATGCGGGGGTGTGGACACGATGACCACTGTTTGACAGGGGTATTGAAGTAGAGAATGTAGCACTTAATGGATCTGGGAGTGGGTTCGGAGGATTTCTGAGGAACTTTCTATGGTTTTTGCAGTTCCCCCCAGTAATCCCTCCTGCAGTCAGAATGGGCAAACTTCTGTGGGAGGCTCTATTGCCCTGAGATGCAGCTCTTCCGAGGGGGCTCCCAGGCCAGTATACAACTGGGTGCATCTTGGATCTTCTCCTACACCGTCTCCAGGCAGCATGGTTCAAGGTAAGGGCCAAGGGCATCAGGAAGACGGGACTGGACACCTGGACAGATGTGGTCTCTAAATCCCACACAGCCATATTACCAGTTCCATGATGAGGGGTATGAGACAAACCACTATACCTTTCCCTGCCTCCTCTTCCTTGGCTTCCTGTCTTGTTCCCTCCTGCCTGTCTTCCTGCACAGTCTGTGGCCCGGGGGATCTGGGAGAATTTATCAAGCTAAATATACTCCTGATATCCTGGAAGAGAGTAGAAGGCAGGGAGCATTCTGATCATGCCCACTCATCTGCTTTGGGGAGATTTATTTTAGGTTTCCTAAGGGTCATGGATCATTTGCAGACTTCCTAGAGAGGAAACTGAGGCAGAATAGCATGGATTGGCTTGAATCTTTTAACCAGTTTCTTTGGAGGAACCATATACATAGGAGCCGTAGTTTCTCAGCTTCCTCTTCCTGGATCTAGTTATTCTCTCTCCAACCCCAGAAAACCTCTTTATCAAACCAGAAATGAATGATCCCCACCCCCAGATCACCTCCTGGTGTGTGCTCTGCCTTCTAAGGCAAGCAGTTTAGAAAAGCATTTGTGTCAGCTTAGAGCCACCCTACAGGATGCAGTTGCTAGCAATCAAGCCTTTTACACCAAACCAGGAGCCTGACATCAGCCAGTCAGCACCCCACCCCGACTCCATTGCCAGTGTCTGAATCCTTCATGAGTGTGCAGCCCTCCTCCTCCCCAAAAGGCAGCTATGTAGGGTGGAAAGAACAGGTAAGTTGCAGCAGCTTTGAAATTCCTCTCTGGATCACTTCAGACACATTACTTCCTTTTTCTGAACCAGTTTCCCTACCAATAAAAAAAAAAAAAAAAATTAGTTCCTCCCCGACAGGATTGTTATAAGGATGAAATGAAATGTGCTATCCTCATAGAGGTGCTCAGAGTTCAACGAATGGTGGAACACTCCCTCTTTATCCTCTAGATGAGGTGTCTGGCCAGCTCATTCTCACCAACCTCTCCCTGACCTCCTCGGGCACCTACCGCTGTGTGGCCACCAACCAGATGGGCAGTGCATCCTGTGAGCTGACCCTCTCTGTGACTGGTAGGGATGCTGGGTGGAGGCCGGGCCAGCAGGCTTGTATTGGGAAGGCTGCATGAAGCTGTCTGCTGGTGGGCCAAGGAATGTCTGCAACTCTGTGGGTCTTATGTCTCCTTAGAACCTTCACAAGGCCGAGTGGCTGGGGCTCTAATTGGGGTGCTCCTGGGCGTGCTGTTGCTGTCAGTTACTGTGTTCTGCCTGATCAAGTTCCAGAAAGAGAGGGGGAAGAATCCCAAGGAGACATATGGGGGCAGTGACCTACGGTGAGCAGGAGGGCTGGGGGGTGGTGGTGCAAGGAGGGAGGAAAGGGCTTGGGTTAAAAGTGGGTGCCTGCAGCCCTCAAACTCTCCCATCATTAAATGTGTTTATGGGTAAGTGTTGTTTGGCTCTGGGATTTTCTGGTGGCAACAGTATAACCTGTGTATTTGAGGGCGAAGGCAAGCGGTACAGGGTGGAGTGGCTGGTCCACAAGCCGTGGCAGGGAAGTTCAGTTTGCAGGACTGCCCAGTCCCTCCTACTTATAAAGTTTACTTTTCTGTTCTAAAGGCATTTTCATATATTTTAACCACCTGGGAGTAGTAGTGGCTTGTAGATGCCAGAAGCTGGATTTGTCCTTAGCAGTCAGCTGAGTTCAGTTCTTCCGTGGAAGAAATCAGGAAAGGGGAGGGGAAGCTGCCTGTGTCATTTATTTTAGCTGCCAGTCAGGGTCTAGGAAAGGGATCAGAGCAATATTTCTCCAAGTGGAGTCCTCAGATTACCTGGACAGAAATCATGGGGAACTAGTTGCACATTCAGATTCAGGCCACTTCCTAGCCTTCCTAGAGTTGTGTGTTGGGGAATGATGTTTTTTTTTTTTTTTTTTTTTTGAGACGGAGTTTCACTCTTGTTGCCCAGGCTGGAGTGCAATGGCACGATCTCGGCTCACCGCAACCTCCGCCTCCTGGGTTCAGGCAATTCTCCTGCCTCAGCCTCCTGAGTAGCTGGGATTACAGGCACGTGCCACCATACTCAGCTAATTTTTTGTATTTTTAGTAGAGACGGGGTTTCACCATGTTGACCAGGATGGGCTCGATCTCTTGACCTCGTGATCCACCCGCCTCGGCCTCCCAAAGTGCTGGGATTACAGGCTTGAGCCACCGCGCCCGGTCCAGAAACTTCATTTTAACCAAAGTTCCACAGATGATTCTCATGTACAGTGAGAGTCATCCAGGTTAGAGGACAGCCCTCTTCTGCAGGAGACTTCGACCCTTCACTAAGAACTTGCCTATACCCATCAGGGAGGACGCGGTCGCTCCTGGGATCTCTGAGCACACTTCGAGGGCTGATTCTAGCAAGGGGCTCCTGGAAAGACCCTCATCTGCCAGCACGGTGACGACCACCAAGTCCAAGCTCCCTATGGTTGTGTGACTTCTCATCCCTGAGGGCAGTGAGGGGAAATATCAGTAATTAAAGTCTGCGGGTACCATACTGTCTCCTTCTTCTTTCTGCTGGTATAGTGAATTCCTCTAGGCGGCTCAAAGAGTATTAACAGAAAGGGAAGGAATGGGCTTGAAGTCCGAGAAATGATGCTGTAGGTAGGCAGGAAGTTTGATTGGGTAAAAGGGGTAGGTTTCAACCTAGGTGCCTGTCCACCTCACCCCACCAGCCCTGATTTTTGGTTTGGCCAAAGGAGACTTGTTCAATCTCCAAGCCGAAGCCTTGTGCACGCAGACTCCCTCCCCCTGGCACCCTCTGAACACTTGGACATTCCTCTTTATTGTTCACATTCCAACCCAGCACAGTCACATGCACACACGGAGATAAAAAACCTTTCGGCCACTGCCCCAGGAGCCCAGCGGGGAGCGGGGACGGGGCCGACAGGGGAGTGGCGGGGCCGCGGAAGACTCCTCCTACCAAGCCTCCCAGGCGCTCGGCGTTCGCATAAACAAGAGAGCTGGAGAGGCTGCCCTCCACAGTGCGCTGGGGAAAGGGGAGAGGACGTGACAGGCAGGTGTGGGATAGGGACTTCTCTTCCGATCAGAGTAAGGGGCGTCGACACCATAAAAACCCTCTTCTCTTCATCTCGCCCCAGATCCAAAGTCCTGGGGCTAGGCTTGGGGCACGGAGATGTAGGGCGCCCCTTTTAGCTGCGCACAGAACGAAAGGACTTGTTTTTTCTTTAAGTACGTGTACTTGGGTGACGCTTAGGGCGCCCTCCGCAGTGCGCGCAGGAAAGCGCACTGAGGCTGCGGAGGCAGAGCTGCATGCTGGGTGCGGGGAGAGGTGGGCGAGAAGCAAAAGAAGGATTTGGGAGCGCAGGGTTAACGGTGGGGTGGGGTGGAAGGGCAAATGGGGACCATACTAGACTGTAGAACTAACTAAAAGGGCACGGATTCAGCGACTCCGCGACGGAGCCTGCCTGGGAGAGGGAGTCTCTGGGACGCAGGGGGCTCCTGTAGCTGGCAGGTTGCTGGGCAGGAGAGGGTCACAAACACGGCAGGGAAGTCTCGTCGCAGCGAAGGGGACGCGGCATCCATCTCTCCTCGGGAACTGAGGAGAGAGAAGGTCTGAGAACCCATCCTCTCTTGCTACTTCCTCTCCCCACTCCCTTCCCCCTTTCTGTACCAAGATTCCTTGGGCGAGGAATGCCAAGGGGCCCCAGTCACCCAGAACCCCCAGCCCGAGTCATGGCGCTGAAATGAGCCCCGCGGCAGGTTTGTGTGCGCGCCATGATGTGTTTTCTGCCCCTTGGCCGGGCTTGTGCAGCCAAATGGGGTGACTGAGCATGTCTTGGTCCACGTGTGTCCCTGTTGCAGCCTTGGGCGTCTCGATGTGTCCCTATCGCAGCCTTGGAAGTGTGAATGTATCAGAAAACGCAAAGGCGCGGGGTACATCTTCCCTGGCTGGGAGGGGTGAGGGTGAGCAGAGGGAAGCCATGGGGATTCAATCCTTTTCTCCTACCCCGTCGCCTCGGGGCCGTGTTCATTACCTTTGAAAATGCTCAGTTCTTCCGTCCAGGGCAGGGCAGAAAGGATGCAGAGGGAGAAACAGGTGAGCTCCTGGAATCCACTCAACCCTCAGCCTCTTCTCACCCACCCGCCTCCCGACTCGTGTTTCTATCCTTCAATCTTTAGTTCCCTCCATGCCCCCCTGCACCCCCTAGCCGGCCCTTATTCTCCCCCTGCTTCTTCTGGGGAGGGCTGCGGCTGTGAGCTCGCCGCGAGCCGCCTCACCTGGTCTAGTCTCCGCTGGGGCCGCCGCCCGCGCCTCCCCGGGCGACCCCAGCTCCGCCGGGCCCCCCGGGGCCCGGGCCCTTCCGGCCGCGCTCTCCGCTCTTTATCTTCTTCCGAGCCATGTGGCCCCGAAAACTCGCCTGGATTTTGGCGGCCGCCGCGTTGGCGCCGGGATCGTCCAGCGGGATGTCTAGAATGTCGTCGTCTGGCTTGGAGCAGGCGTTCTCCTGGGGGCGGAGCAGGAGGGTTCTTGTGGGGTCACTGGGTCTTGACTCCGCGGGAGTGGGGTAGGAATAGAGAGGCCTGAGAGATTGAGACTATGGCGACGCGGGGATGAGAGGTGCAGACAGGGGTGCCGCGCCCGGAGCAGGGCTGTGGCACGGACACGCACTGGGGTGGGGGCAGTGACAGGTGAAGAGGAAGGTTCAGGGCCAGGTGGACAGACGTGTCTCAATTCAGGAAAGAAAAGTGCAGGTAGGATTGGGTGTAGGAGAGCCAGGTCCATCACCAGCATCCAGTTAGGGGTCTGCAGAGCTGCTTGGAGGGTGGAAAGGAGGAGCAAGGAAAACAGCAGCAGGCACTCCTTGAGTGGCCACCTGCCCCTCGCTCTCAGAGGGTACCTCCAGCTCAGAAGGACCCAGTCTGAGTCCAGGGTCTTCCGTGGAGAGGGTGAAGCCTCAGTCTCCCAGCCCTCTCTCCCCAGCAGAACTGCAAGAAGCTCACAGCTGGAATTAGGGCGAGGGTGGGGATACTAGTCAGTGAGCCAGCCTCCCCCAACCTAAGGCTAGAGCCCCAGAAATTGTTTTCCCATTGACTTTTCGTCTTCCACTGTCCAAGGATGAGCTCAAACACAGAAGATAGGAGATGATTTGGAAGAAGTGACAGAGAAAAGCCTTCGCTCCAAGAAAATAAAGAAAAAAGAAAAGGGAAGGAAGGAAGGAAGGAAGGAAGGAAGGAGAGAGAAAGAAAAGAGAAAAGAAAAGAAAAAAAGAAAATGAAAAGGCCAGCAGGAGTAAGAAGCCCTTTCCAGGGTGTAGTTATGAGGAAGAAAGGAATTACAGTGATAGTTACCATTCAAGCACTTACCTTGTTCCAGGTGCAATAACAGGCATTATTTTATTTAGTCCCCCCAAATAAAGCAGTGATGCACCTTTTTATTGTTACCCTTAATAAACCTAATGATTAGACTGTTCAAAAACCTACCTAGGTCATACAGTTACCAGTAGACCCAAGATTCAGACCTTTGTATTTCAGAGTCCAGAATATATTTTACTCCTACTTTGTAGGATAAGCAAATGCAGCCCAGTCAACCAACCAAGGCTCTACCATTTGCTATAGGGTGTAGCCTTGGGCAAGTTATCTAATCTTTTCTTATCTCACCTCCTTCCTCTAAAATACCAGGATAATACTATCCACCTGTATGGGTTGTGGGGAAGAATAAACAGCATGATATGCATAAAGTCTCTTGTACAACCTAGCTGCTCAATAAATAGTAGCTCTTATGATTGCCTTAAAAATAACATGAAGTTAATGTGAAATTGTTGTTTTGCAGACCAAAAGCAGTCATATAGTAACAGTTTCATATAGTTCAATCTAACAATAATCAGGCCCACCTCTATGCCCCAAACTAGATTTCTGTGTCTCTGACAGCCTACCCTAGCTGAAAGTAGAAGGGGTGAGGGAATTGATGGTATAGAATGCAGGGGAAAGGCTATGGAATGGAGAGGAATTCAGCCTCTGAGCACCTTTGCTGCTTACCATTACTTACAGTATTAGCGTGAGTCAGGATGGGGATGACTACCTTGAAGTTAGAAGGACATTTCTCTTTTGATCTGGCCCTCTGGCTTCTAAGAATTTGCCTTGATTTTTTTTTTTTTCATGAAGACGTCCAGTGCTTTCATTATATTTTTCTTCTAGGACACCAGATGACCAAGGTTTCACATAATGATAGTTCAGTTCTGTACATCCATTCTCCCTGCCATCACCCATCCAGCTCACAGAAGTAGACAGGATATGAGTGAGGCTTCAGCGATCACTGTCCTAACCAGATTCTCCCCCAGGAGCATAAACTTAAATTCCAGACACCAAAGGCCAGGCTTATAAATGGCTCCCCTCACCATGTTTCCCAAGGTTACCTTCATTTCCTGGGCTTCATATTCTTCAGTTTGTGCTCAAGATACCCACAGTCAATTTAAAAACAGTTAAAAGGAGTTACATTTTGGTAGAAGATCCCCCCCCCCCCCCCCAGAAAAAGAGTTACAAAGAGGCAGGTATGGTTGTGGAGGAGCCCAACACAGGTCTAGAGTGCTCCCTGACATCTTATTCCTCACCTAAAATCAGAAATTACTCCTTTGGGATTTTTTACTCCTAGAGTTCAAGTCTTTCTTGGGATATCCTCAGGGAATAGTGAGGCTTCTTCTCAAAAGAGGGTGACAATCATAAAAAACCATTCCTGACCTCCCTCTCCTCCTTGGCCCTGCTGCTGTGAAGGAGTGGGAAGGTTGAGTGGAGGAAGGGATATCTGCTTCCAACCACGCTAGACCCGACCTGCTGTCACCGCCCGCCCCAGCTGGATCCAGAATGGAAAGCTGGAATAACAGGCAAAGCCACCCCCGACATTCCATGCTCCTCCCCAGAATCAGCTAGCTCCCTCTCCCACCAGCTGAATTTTCAGGACACAGCTGCCAGGTGGCCAGTGTGGCCACAGGTGGAACTGGAAGATTAAAAGGATCTGGGAAGGGGGCTCACTGGTCATGGGGGCCTAGCTGGTGCCTTCCAAAGCCAAGGTTGCTAGTGTGTGCCTGAGAGTTCCATAGGAACTAGGGACTTCTGGGAGGGGAGGGAGAGGTGGAAGGTGCCCAGGTCAGCAAAGCAGGAGCTGAGGCTTCTAGTTCCAACTGGGCACATCACTTCACCTCTGAGAGTCTCATTTTCTTCAGCCACAGCTAGAACTTAACCTAATTGAATAAAGTCTCCTTCAGCTCCCAAATCCTAATAGCTTTAAGGATTACCCCTGCTTGCTCCTTGTTATGTGTCAAGCCCTGTGCTAAGCACTTTGCACATATTACCTCATTTAATACCCATTTTGGAAGTCAGGAAACAGCCTCTGAGACATTTTGTAACTTACCTAAGGTCACTCAGTTGACAAATAGTGAAGTGATCAGATTCAGTAGCCTCTGCTGCTAGCCACTGCCTCAGGGCAGGTAATTATTTCTATGAATTCAGCAGGGCCAAGCCAACTGGACTAAGCAAAAGTAAGTAGGATCCAAAAAAAAATAATTATTTGCCTTTTCATATGCAGTGAATGCAGGAAAATGCATATATATATATATGGCTATGTAAATCAGCAACTGCAACATTTGAATCAAAAGGAATAAAAAACCATTTCTCGGTCTCTTAAAAAATCGGCAGATCTGTTTTCTTCTTCCTCATTTCTATTTGAGCCTCTGTAGCAAGGAGAAACAGGAATAAGGCAGGACTAGATTCTTCCCAAACACCAGGTGAGGTGGTCAGTGAGGAGAGCTGCAGAATCCAAGATGAAGAGGGACCTGCCTCTAGCCCCGCCAAGAGGTATGCTGTTGTTCCTAGCATCCTAGCTCCCTCCCAGCACCAAGTCCAGCCCTCCACAGAAAGGGGAGGAAAATGCCCACCCCAGCTCTGCCCTTCCCCACCCCTCCACCCATCACCCCTTCTTCTTCCTGCCCCCCCATCCCCCCCCCCACAGTCTGATAATGGTGCTCTCTCTTGCTCAGCCCTTTGGCCCTGCCAACCTTGGGAAGGCTCCTGTGTACATGGTGCACTGAAGGACATGCCCCAGGCCCTGGGCCTCGGGGTTAATTGTGTATCTGCTTCTTCTTCACCTTTTGGGTGGGTAACCTCTCCTTTTTTAAGGGACACTCACTCCAACCGTGTCTTCCAATCTCAGTATGACACTCAAGGGCAACAGCTCCAGGCAGAGACTACTGCAGACGAGGAGACCAATTCCATTCCTTCCCTCGCCTCTTGGATTGTTTACTCACTTCTTTGACCATGTCTCCCACTTCCCCTTCCCCAGCAATACTCCCCTCTCATCCTTACCTCTCCCCTCCCCCCAACTCCTTTCCCAGAACCCACCATCCATTTACCTCCTCTAAACAACACTGCTGGGAGGAGGGGCTCTTCCTCAGTGGAGCCCAGAAACCTCCATGAGGAGCCCATTTCTCCCTTCATAACCACAACACTGCTTCCTGTAGAATAACAATCAGAGGGAAAAGGCTGGAAGGAGATATGTTATCAGGGTGTTCTCCAGGGGGTGGGACTGTAGGTGACTGACATGTTTTCTTTTTCATACTCTTCTCTAGTTTTTACGTTTTCTATTATGAGCAGATTGCTTTTATATATTTAGAGGAGAGGTTAAAGCACAGCTCTTTGAAGAAGACAGGGCTACGTTTGACTCCTACCTCCACACTTAGGAGTCATGCTTCCTTGGAAAAACCATTTAACTTTTTAAACCTCAGTTGGCACATGGGTGAAATAATGCCTACCTTGCAGGGTTGTCGTGATGATTAAATATAGGGTAGGCATTCACAAACTGGCAACTATTATTGACACTAATAAGAGTTAAAATCGCAACGACCACCACTTGCCCCTAAGTTTTCTCTGCCTCTTGGTACCCAGACATGGGAAAGTCTCACCTATTACAGACCTGGGCTATCCTTTCCTTTGAAAGCTCACTTTTTTTTTTTTTTTCTTTTCTATGCCATGGGGTGGCAAAGTCAGTAACCTCTTCTATCATTTGCTGGTTGACTGAATGACTGAAAATACAAGGACTTTGGAATAGTCTTTACCCAAGTGTAGGGGCAAAAAATAAGCAAACAAATAAATTTCATAAACATATGATCGCTGTAGTCTTCCGGTGAGTCAGGGGCCAGGTCCTGTGCCAGGCGCTTTCATACCGAGTCACCTTAACCGTAACCCCCTCGGGCGCTGGGCACTTACAGTACCCAGGTTTCCGCGTGGGCGCTGACAAATTGCAGACACTTCCTTCCCTCGCCAGCAGGGCTCTCTCGCGGTCACTTAGCCCTCTCCGAGGGAGAAGGCCTTGGGGGCCGGGACAACCCCTCCCCAGAACCACCCTGACTAGGCTCTTTGCAGCCAGCATCACAACCGAGCTAACCAATAGGGATCGATTACACCAGCCTGCGCTGTACAGGGCGCTTCGGCGATCGTTGGCGGGTCATGAGGATCAGCCTGTCCGTCCACCGACGGCGGCGGCAGTGGGATGGGGAACGGAGTGGGGGCCGAAAGGCGGGAGAAACGATTGGCCGCAGTGTCTCTAGGCGACGGTTTCCAGCGTCTCCCCGGGGAGGAAGTGCCTCCGCTCGTCTAACCTGCAGTTAGCTCCCCGTTGCTGAGCCCTGCCGAGCTCCCGGTCCAGCCGAGGCTGCCTGGCGGATGGGCGCTCAGACGCCCCCGCAAGTTGAGGAGCATTTGTCCTAGGGCTTCCAAGCCGGGCTGGCGCCTTCCACCATCCACCACCCACGTCTCCGCAGGGACCCCTTTTCTTTCTGCTCCTAGGTCTTCCGCATCCACTTCCAACCCTCACTCGCCCTCCAGGGCGTTCTCCTGCGCCTCTCGCAGCAGACCCCGCCAAGTGCCCCTCCCCCGGGCCCTCTAACTTACGGTGCAGCAGTCCATGCCGGTGGCAGGGGTCCTCGGCTGGGAAGGAGGCTGGCGGAGGGCGGGGGCCTGGGGGTCTGTGTGGTGCCGGGTGGGGGCTCTGGGGCAGCTGGCCGCCCGCCGACCCGCGCCGAACCAGCAGCTCTGCTCTCGGGTCCGGTCTCCCGCGCTCGGCTCCGCTCGCGAATGTAACCTGAGCCCCACGGCCGGGAAGCCAATCAGGAGCAGCCTCCGGCAGGGTGGGCGGGGAGAAATGGAGGGAGGACCACGCCCTCTCGCGACTCCCTCCGCCGCGCTCCGCCTCCCGCCCCAGCCCCTTCGCCCACACGCTTGTATCCCGGCCACCTACAGGCTCCGTCCTCCCTGGCTCAGTCCCCTGGCTTGCTAGGCGGCAGACTGCCAGGCAGATGTACGCCGGAGTAGGCAGAAGGAGGCCCCCGACACCCTAGGCACAAACACACCCACATCTGGGCACAGCAGCCCCTCCCGCTCATAGAAAACCACGCACCCCTCCACACTTCCACAACCTAGCAGGAGTCCCAAATATGGCTCCCTCTAACTTCACTCCCCCTCAGTCCGCAAAGAAAGGCTCCCTAAGATGTGCGGTAAAAAGGTCTCATCATCACTCCTGCTACAGAAGGAGAAACCTGTTGGTGCAACCTGGCGATGGGCATGCGTCCACACAAAAGCCCACAAGCCCCACATGTCCACATATGATTTCCCAGGACTTCTTCCAGCTTACAGACACTGCAGACACAACCTGCAAAAATAACTACGCAGACCTTCAGTTGCAGGTAAATGCGGACACCCTGCTGCGGGCGCTCGGCGCTCACGCAAGCACACGGACAGTCACCCAGCTCAAGCTGGCGGCATTACATATCTATTATCGATCTGTCCACATGCCCTGCAGCAAACAAACAAAATCATATATGCACAACACCTATATTGTGTCTATTTGTATATGGGCACTGACTTGGAAGAAGTATCCTCCTCTCCTTCGTAGCAGACTCTGCCTAACCTCTTGACCTCAGGATAAGACAAAAGCTGGCCGTCCTCTCCCCTGTTCCTGAGAAGACGAAAAATATCCTAAACCCAAGTATAGGGAATTCGAAATAATTGGCTCTTGGGTCCATGATGAGGCAGGATGTGGGCTTCGTGAGAGGCTGGGAAGGGGAGCTATGGAAAGAGCATCTGGGAGGGACAGCCTGCCACTGTTGTGGTCGTCAGCCTCCCCCAACTCGGCAGGGTACAAGAGCTGGCAGTGTGGCTTGTTATGTGGGTAGGGTAGGCCTTCTCTGAGAAAATTAGGAAGTCTTTCTCAGCTAAGGTCCCAGAGAAGGGAAGGAGGAGAGGATGGCTGCTGCTCGGAGCAAAGGAGGGAAATGCCCTGTGGCTCTCGGTGGGACAACAGACCCTGAGACAGCTCTGCAGTGCATCCCCAGCCCCTGGCCATGCCCAGTGACCCCATGACGGTTACATGCTTCCTTCCCACCTGGATGTTTGGGCCAGAGGCTCTGCTTGCCAAGGGAAAATGAGTGGGAGGGAAATGCCTGTGTCCATTCAGGATGGGCAGCTTGGGGTCCCAGGCTGAGCTGGATGCTAGCTGGAATTCCAGGGCTTGGGATGTAGGGGTGTCTCTCCCAGCATGTTTGGGGCCCACCCACTTTTGTAATGAAAAATCTGTTCCCCAATCTGTCTCTGGCACATCCTCCATCCCCCCACCTCCACCAAATGGCCAGATGTCCTGGGAACTCAGGCCCTTGCCTAAATGACGGGCACATCTGTGGCCTTCAGTTTTGCCAATTCCTGCTGGACTTCAACTCCAGAATCCAGATAGGAGAGAAAAGGGGGAAATTGGGGGACAGAGAGGATTCCAGGCCTAGACTCTGTGCTTTTCTCTTCCCAAATTAGAGCTGAGGAATTCGGGATTTGGTGAGTTTGCAGTAAAGTCTCCCAAGTTGCTAGGCAACATCCCTCTGCAGACTGCGCTGCCTCTGGGCCCTTCTTCCTGCTGGTCAGAACTGAAGGTGGGGGGGGTATCTTTACAACACCCCCCACCAACTCCCACGCCGGCAACACAGCCCCTCTCTCTTCCTGCAGGACACCTTTGTGTAGGGTGAGGGTGTCTCTGAACACTGGAGGGCCCATGGGGGACAGACACAGCAACTGTCAGTTCCATCCGCAAAGCAACCATTTCAGCAACAGCCCACTCAAGGCGCCTACGCAGAACTGGCCACAGTGCTGGCCCTGGGGGATGGGCAGGCTCTGAGGTGAGGAAAAGACAGAGAGGAAGGCAGAGCCTGAGATGAGAAGGCAGACACTCACACACTCAAATACCAGCGGCAGGAGCAGAAACACATACAGCCTCATAGAAATCACACACACACACACACACACACACACACACAGACCCAAAGATGCAGACATACACACTGCCCACACACCCAGAGACACACACCCCACACAGGTTGTCACCCACTGACATCCAAGGACATGCTCAGCGTGGGCCCCTTAACCATTGTGGGGCCAGGGCACCCACTAGCCCTGGTAAAATGTCCCTCTTCTGGGCCTCTAGGTGGCTGGGGTTTGTCAGCAAGGTAGACTGGTGGATTCAGCTTGTGATACTCAGATGAGCTAGGAGAAAGGACGGATGCAGTAAAGGATGGCTGAGTCTGCCTCTACAGGCCTCTGGTCTTTGGCAGAATGATGCCAAGTCACTCCCCACTCCTCCCCACAGCAGCCTGCCTGGCCTGGGGCCTGGGTGCCACTGGTCAACTTTTGGAGTATTACCTACTGTCCAGCTGAGCTTGAACTCATAGCTGTTCTTGGCTTTTCAAATTTCAAAACTTCTCATCTACAGTCTCTAGTCCCCATAGCTCCTGAAGGAGGACTGCTGGCCTGGGAAGGAGATGAGCTCTGGAAGGGAAGGGCCGGGTTAGAGAGACAGCTGGGGCCTGTTGGTGGGTGCCGTGGGATGGAACCAGCAGGAAGCATGGAGGTGAGAGGGGTGAGGAATAGAAGCCAAGGCAGCAGAAGAGGAGAGGGGTAGACAAAAGAGAGGATAAAAGGTGGATTAGTGGGAAGCTTCTGTGGTCCAATACACATCCTTCTTGGGACAGATGGAAGGGGATTTGGAGAGGGTTGGTCCTAGTAAGCAGGGAGAAAAGCCAAGGCATATGACAATTTATTTGCCAGTAACTTGTGGCTTCCCCTCCTCAGAGTGGGCACTTTCTGAACATCGCATCCCGGCTCAAGCCCAGGGAAGGACTTATAATCAGAAGGGGGCTGGGAAGGAAGAGGCCTGTGCCTTTGGTGGAAGTGATCTGGGGGCTTCTTAGGTCAGGATTTTACCCATTTGAGTGGAGGGGGTGGAGGTAGCAGGAAATTCAGTTTTCTCTGCAAATATTTCAGCTTTTGCTGTTGTGGTATTTTTAGCAACCTGGTTGGCAGAGGAGGAGCCTGGGTACATTTTTAAAGGGGCCTCTGCCAGGCTGGAGGCCTCTTCCCACCCTCACCCCACATGTCAGAAAGGGGAGGGGGAGAAAGCACTTGGCTTAAGGGGTGCATTCAAAGGTAGAAATCGGGTTCGCTGGGCCATCAAGTCATTTCCCCCAGCGTCGGTCATTGTCAGCATCAGGATTGCCAGCAGCATTGTCAAGAGGAGTAAATAGTTCTTGAACTTCTGCTGCGTTCAGGGTGCTGCTAGGGAGGCAATACGAAAGGCTTGATTTAATATATTTGCTAAATGGGGAAAGAACCAACAATCTTGAGTGAGTTCTAGGCTAAATCTGAATAATGCTTTACAAAGTGCTGCCACATCCATTATTTAAAGTGGTACTCTCAAGAACTGTGTGAGGAGGTATTAGTATTTTTTTTTTTTTTTTTTTAAGACAGAATCAGACTCTGTCACCCAGGTTAGAGTGCAGTGGCACGATTTCAAGCAACCTCTACCTCCCAGGTTCAAGCAATTCTCCTGCCTCAGCCTCCTGAGTAGCTGGGATTATAGGTGCTCACCACCATGCCTGGCTAATTTTTTTGTATTTTTAGTAGAGACGGGGTTTTGTCATGTTTGCCAGGTTGGTCTTGAACTCTTGGTCTCAAGTGATCTGCCTGCCTCAGCCTCTCAAAGTGTTGGGATTACAGGCGTGAGCCACCACATCCAGCCTAGGAGGTAGTGTTATTTCTAACCTCTTTTTTTTTTTTTTGAGACTGAGTTTCGCTCTTATTACCCAGGCTGGAGTGCAATGGTGCAATCTCAGCTCACCGCAACCTCCGCCTCCTGGGCTCAGGCAATTCTCCTGCCTCAGCCTCCTGAGTAGCTGGGACTACAGGCACGCGCTGCCATGCCCAGCTAATTTTTTGTATTTTTGTTAGTAGAGACGGGGTTTCACCATGTTGACCAGGATGGTCTCGATCTCTTGACCTCGTGATCCACCCGCCTCAGCCTCCCAAAGTACTGGGATTACAGGCTTGAGCCACCGCGCCTGGCCTATTTTTAACCTCTTTTGGAAAGAGTTTTCTGAGGAGGAAACTGAGGCTGGGAGAATGACTTGCTATTTGTCCAGCATTAGCTCTCTGATTAAATGCAAAAATAGAATGAAAACCCAGGAGTTCTGACCTTGAATTCTGCATTTCTTCTCTTCAGTGCTCCTAGCATAGCATATGTTAAGCAAATCAGACATAATCTCCTTTCTCTTGAATGTTGTAATCTGATGGAAAAAGTACATATATGTGGGCATCTGCATGTATAAAATAAAGCAATAAATGATAGATGCCAAAGGAATGAAGCAGACAGTAAATGTTATGAGAGTTGAGGTGTGGGAGAAATGACTGAGAATTCAGATGGTCAAGGAAGGCTCCATGGAGGATGGTTTGAAGCAAGTGTGAATTCAAAAGTATCTGAGACAGGTCTCAATCAACTTCGAAAGTTCATTTTGTCAAGGTTAATGATGCATCTGTTAACACAGCCTCGAGAGGTCCGGAATGACATGTGTCCAAGGTAGTTGGATACAAGCTTGCTTTACAAGCTTGTACAAGGGGTATATCTTGTTTTTATCTTTTTTAGGGAGATAATAATACATCAGTCAGTACCTGTAAGATGTACATTGGTTTGATCTGGAAAGGTGGGACCACTTGAAGCTGTGGTGGAGGGTGGTGGCTTCCAAGTTATAGGTAGATTTAAAAATGTTCTGATTGGCAATCAGTTGAAAGGGTTATTATCTAAAGACCTGGAATCAATAGAA